GTCCCAGCTACTTGGGAGGCTGAGGCAGGAGACTCGCTTGAGCCCAGGAGTTGGAGGTTGCTGTGAGTTGTGATACCATGGCACTCTACCCAGGGGGATAGCTTGAGGCTCTGTCTCAAAAAAAAAAAGAAAGAAACATGAAGTTATTGCAAGCTCTTAAATAAGAGTAATTATGTATAAGTTAGGTATTTTAAATTGGGCGTATAAGACATCTCTATCCACGCTGACAGTTGTATGAGGAAGAATTAAGCAATCTTCGTGTTTCTTTTGCAGTTCTTTGACTCCGATTGATACAAGGCATATATTGAAAAAAATATGTATAAATGAAAAAGTAAAAGTAACTAATATATATCCTGAAGAATTTAAACGCATTTTTGAAGCTATAGAGTGTTCCAAAGATCATGCTTATAAGTGGCTATATGATGACAGCATGGAAGACACAAAGTATGTAGAGAACTAGACCGTCAGGACAGGAGCTGGAGGAGTTTATTTATTTGGAATGATGACACAAAAGAAAAAGAACTAAATTGTGGAAAGCTCACATCCTTTCAGAAGATAACTCTTCTTTTATACACACTAAGCAGATTACTTCTTCTGAAGTTGATACTGGTATATTGGATGAAATGGCTGCTATTTTATTCACAAGTCAATAAAATGAAAACTTTATTGTAGACGATCAGCTTGAATTTGTTTTGTTTCAAATTCCTATCTACTTTAAGCACACTGGAGGTTGTAGGCTGTTACCAGTTGAAATTTAGTTTACTCTTTAAAATCTTTTTGGTCAAACATCTTACAAGGTATTAAATATTTAACTTCCATCATTGTTGGTTTTATATCCTACTACTGTGGGGCAAAGCAGTCTATATGTTGTTAAGCTTAGAAAGTAAACAAAAGTGGTTTGTTTTACTTTTCAGTTTGTTGAAATGTATTAGCAAATACTGTATAATAAAATTATTTAAATTTTAATGATTTAAACTTTTTTCAAAATTAAAATATTTTAAGTAATAAGATTTTGTGATTTTTTTTTTAAGTGAATGATTCAATCTTTGTTACTCAGAAGTCTCTTAAATTTGTGTTCCATCGGCTCGGCGCCTGTGGCTCAAGTGGCTAAGGCACCAGACACATACACCTGAGGTGGTGGGTTTGAATCCAGCCCGGGCCCGCCAAACAATGATGGCTGCAACCAAAAAATAGCCAGGCATTGGGGCATTGTGGCGGGCACCTGTAGTCCCAGCTACTTGGGAGGTGGAGGCAGGAAACTCGCTTGAGTCCAGGAGTTGGAAATTACTGTGAGCTGTGATACCATGGCACTCTACCCAGGGGGACAGCTTGAGGCTCTGTCTCAAAAAAAAAAGAATATTTACTTAGGCCAGATGTAGTGGTTCATACCTATAATCGTAGCACTCAGAGAATGAGTTGGGAGACTTGCTTGAGCTCAGGAGTTGAGATCAGCCTGAGCAAGAGCAAGACGCAGTTACTAAAATAGAAAAATTAGCCAAGCATGGTGGTATGCACCTATAGTCCCAGCTACTAGGGAGGCTAGTAGCCTCCCAGAGTGCTAAAATTACAAGCATGAGCCAACATGCCTATACACTTTTTTTTTTAACCTTTGTTGTATCTGAATTTAGGAATGCAGCAAAATTTAGCTTTGACCTTAGTTTTTGGCCAAAATCTATTTAGCTTTGGCTTTTGTTTGGATATTCCTGAACTTGTATGTGATGAATGATCACATAACTACATACGTAACTCTATTAATACAACATATTACATACATACATAATACAAATCTATACATACAACATAACTATTATAAACATGTACTTTTTGGATTTATTAATGCATGAATATTCATTTTCAAGAAGTAAGCATTCTAGAAGTAGCTTGGCGTGAGAATGTTTTTTTTTATTGTTGGGGATTCATTGAGGGTACAGAGAAACCAGATTACATTGATTGCTTTTGTTAGGTGAAGTCCCTCTTCCAATTGTGTCCTGCCCCCAAAAGGTATGTCACACATCATGATCTCCCACACCCCTTCCTTCTCTAGCTCTTCCCTTCCCTCACTCCCCACCATGTACTAGGTCATTAATTGTCCTCATATCAGAATTCAGTACATAGGATTCTTGGTTCTCCATTCTTGTGATGCTTTACTAAGAATAATGTGTTCCACTTCCATCCACCTTAAGACAAAAGACGTAAAGTCTTTATCTTTTTAAATGGCTGAATTAATTTATTTTTAACATTTAAATTCTTTTTAATAAAAACAATTCTTCTTCCACGTGAAATTTTTTCCATGAAATTCCACAAGTGTTAAGGTTGTTATTATTTTTTAAAGAAGGCAGCATGCTATTTTCAACTTACCAAGTCAGGAACTCCACATCCCCCTCCACCAAGGCTGGGACTTCATGTGCCTGGGAAGCCTATGCTGTTTGTGGAAGTATAGGGCTCCTTTGTGTCTAGATGTGTCAAGGATTCCCAGGACTGAATTAAAACCATTAGAGGGCAGTGGAAAGGGTTGGAGAGGTGACAGGAACAACAGGAGGTCCAGGTGGCTTTAAAATGACAATTTATATACATACCACAGCTTGTTAATCCATTCCTGGGTTGGTGGGCATTTAGACTGTTCCCACATTTTGGCAATTGTAAATTGAGCTGCGATAAACAGTCTAGTGCAAGTGTCCTTCTGGTAAAAGGATCTTTTTTCTTCTGGGTAGAAGCCCAGTAATGAGATTGCAGGATCAAATGCAAGGTCTAGTTTGAGTTCTTTGAGGGTTCTCCATACTTTCTTCCAAAAAAGTTGTTTTGGTTTGCAGTCCCACCAGCAATGTAAAAGTGTTCCCTTCTCTCCATATCCACATCAGCGTCTGCAATTGTGATGTGGACCATTCTCACTGGGGTTAGGAGATATCTCAGGGTGATTTTGATTTGCATTTCTCTAATATTAGGGACGATGAGCATTTTTTTAATACGTTTGTTAGCCATTCATTTGTCTTCTTCAGAGAAGGGTCTATGCATCTCTCTCGCCCATCGATGATACAAGGGATTGTTGGCTTTTTTTCATGTTGATTAATTTGAGCTCTCTGTAGATCCTAGTTATCAAGCTTTTGTCAGATTCAAAATATGCAAATACCTGGGTGGCACCTGTGGCTCAGTGGGTAGGACACCAGCCCCATATACTGAGGGTGGCAGGTTCGAACCTGACCCCAGCCAAACTGCAACAAAAAATAGTGTTGTGGCAGGTGTCTATAGTCCCAGCTACTCTGGAGGCTGAGG